AGAAAAAAGAAGAAGACCGGGATGGTCCAAGGAGAGAGACCAAGGGTTGGAGAGAAGAGAGTGGGTTCAATAAGCCCTAGGAAAAATATGAGGTGTATTTTTCTTGACAGTTCGATCACATAGTCATGCTTGCATTCTTCCCCTCCTTCAATGACTCTGATCTCAGTACTTTGGGGAAAAAAATAAGAATTTTTCTTTACCAAAACTTGAGAACCCTGAAAAATAGGAGCCATAATTAAAAAATCTGAAATCAAATGCTACATTTCTTTTTTTCTAAACAAAATTTTATTTTAGAACAGTTTTAGACCTACAGAAAAATTTTGAAGTTAGTTCCCATATACCCTACACCCAGTATCTCCCCTTTTTTTTTTTTTTTTTAATCAGATGCTTGACTGGAAACCAAGACAGGTAGACTTCTAATAGCAGTTTGAATTAGCTCCAAGTCTGACGTATCTGAAAAGCATGTTTATGGGTATAACTGCTTCTGATAAGCACTTTTGGGGGCCTATATGGAAAAACAATCCTGTTTTTTATACCTACTCTACACAAGATAACACCCTAGTGGGTTAGAAGATATGACACAAGTTACTCTATTATGCATTATCCTATTGTAAAACTATAATAGGGCTTGGAGGTGGTGATGAAACTAAACATAACTAACATTTTTTTTTGAGACCTTAATATGTGCCTGGATTGTTTCTAAGCACTTTACAGGTATTAACTCGCGATTCTCAAAATAATCCTATAAAGAAAGTACAATTACTGTTCCATTTTACAGATGAGAAAACTGAGATTCTCGGACATTAAATAACTTTCCGATGTCACATGATGAGTCACTGGAAGAACTGGGATTTGAACGCAGGTGAGTTAGCATTGAAGGCAGTGCCCTTAACAATGCCATATTATCTTTCAGAGATTAAGTGCAACTGAGGAAGCTTATTGGGAGATGTGGGGTTTGTGTTGGTCCTTCAGGAATGGAAAGAACTTCAGTCGCTAGATATGGCAGAGGTAAGAATGCCAGCAAGGTGTAAAAGCCTGAGGTAGGAGAGTGCAGGGAATGTTTGGGGAGAAGCAGGCAGGGGGTATAATTGGATTGTATGGTGCAGGTGCACTGCTAGCCTCTAACCCACTGCCACTGAGTTGACTGTGACTCATAGCGACCCTGTAGGGTTTCCAAGGCCATGCATCTCTATGAAAGCAGACTGCTACATCTTTCTCCGATGGAGCTGCTGGTGGTTTCGAACCACCAACCTTTCGGTTAACAGTTGATTTCTTTAACCGCTGCACCACCAGGGCTCCTGCTGGCCTCTAGGGGGAGCGAAAAACATCCTTCCCACCTGTTCTCAACCCCAATGCATACCAAAACGGTCAAACGAAGGGCAAGAAAATTCACCCTTCTAAAGATGTAAGGAGCTCTGGTGGTGCAGTGGTTAAAGCACTTGGCTGCTAACTGGAAGCTAACTGGAAGGTTGGCAGTTCAAACCCACCAACCGTTCTGCAGGAGAAAGATGTAGCAGTCTGCTTCCGTAAAGATTTATAGGCTTGGAAACCCTATGGGGCAGTTCTACTCTGTCCTATAGGGTCACTATGAGTCGGGATCGACTTGATGGTAGTAAATTTGGTTTTTTGGTTAAAGAGGATGGACTTATGCCCAAGGTCACTGATTAGGACATGTTTTCTAGAAGTGGAGACTTGAAGGGGAATAAAGATCACAGCACAGCTGGACTCGGTGCTTCTTGTCCTTCAGATCCCTTCCATAATGGAGGGGCTGGGCTTATAAAGAAGACCAAACATTTGAGTCTGGGGGTGGGGAAACACGGTAGATTTGAAGCAAAGGAGAGAGGAAACTCAGAAGGTCATTACACTACCTAGTCTTGATACTACTAGTGGAGTACAAGACAAGGTCATCGGAAGAGAGATGGGAGCTTGGGGTCAGTACAGTAGTTAGGAAATTGCTGTGGTCAATATCTAGAGAATTCTTAGGAAATAGGAAAACACGCACACACACAATTTCCCAGCTAAATTCAGATAACATAGATATGAAATACGTCTAATCAGCATGAGGATATTAGCCCTTTTAGTAAATCTCATCAGCTCGGTCCAGGAAACAAACAAAAAAATCACCTGAAAAAGTAATACCACGGTTGAAGCTAATCAGGGTGATCAAGGCAGTGGGTTAAGAAAGGGCATAAATATCTGGTGACATAATTGGTTATGTGAGTGATTAGGGTATGCCAGCTAAGTGGAGTGGTTTCTAATGTAAGGGCAGAAAGTTTGGGGACAATAGAGAGATATGTAAGAACCACAGGTCACAGTGAGGCATTAGCCAAATAAGCAAGAGTGAGATGGAAGAGCCAAATAATGAGGAAATCTAAGGGGTCACCATGCCAAGAGGATGGGGTCCCTAGAATTGATGAGGTTGGGGAATTGGGCTATTGATACTGATTGTTCTGGATGTTGGCAAATGTTGGAGAGGAAGACTGGACCTGGTGGTGGTGTGTCCTGGAAAAAGGTACAGGGTGTCTTGTAGGTCTGTCCATTGAAGTCGTGATGAGGGCAGTATAAGTGTTAAGTGTGTGACAACAATGGGATGATACAGAACCAGCAAGAGTAGGGAGGATGGAAGGATGCCAAACTCATCACTTGGCCCTGTGTTAGGGTGGTGGGGAGAAGAGGATGCCATATGAGAGTGTAGAGGAGAAGCCAAGTTTCAACAAGCAAGGGCCATTGATCAAAATTGATGGCATGAGACCAGCCTACAGCTGAAGTGGAGGCCCCAGCTGGGGTGATTTGGCAGTGGGCATGCATTCCCATTAGTTGTCTGCTTCCACGACCTACATGCTGGCAAGCAAGGGAGTGGGGTGGGATGAGGAGAAATATTATTGTCTTCTTTTCCCCCTAAAACTTACAATTTTACTCTGTTCTCTGCTGCATGCCATAATAATTTATAATTTCATCCTGTACCACATTGCATGCCCTAATAACCATGATGTATTCCCACATGTTATTCTGTTATTATTTTAGAGGAAGCTGCCAGTATTACTCTAATTTCACTCTTCTCTAAGGCAGTTCACGGTGTAGTCACATTGCTATGCAACCATCCACAATTAATAAAAATCAGATAGATAAGCAGTTCAAAGCATGACACTGTGCCATATGCCACAGACATTCCTGAATTCCAGGACACTTTATAACCAATGCTTGGAATCTCAGAATTTTCAAATTTTATTCTGAAAGAAGTTCCAGGAAAAAAAAAAAAAAAACATTAATGTTGTCCATGAATCAGCAGAGAAGTGGCTAGGAACATGGGCTCAGGAATCAGACGGACTTATGGTCAAGCAGGCCAGGGGTCCAATTTGCAGCTATAGGGCCTTGGGCAAGTCTCAGACCTTTTCTCAGTCTTAGGTTCCTTATCCCTAAATGGGGATAATATTGTCCCACAATGTTGTTGGAGGGACTACATAGATAATGCATGCAAGAATCTCCACACAGCAAGTACTCAGTAAATGTTATTTCCCTTCCTATCACTCCCCACCTTTTTTTGACTCTTTTTCTTATTTTGTTTCTGAATTTCTCTGGAAAAGTTGTTGGTAAGTATATCTATATATCAATTTATATCTATATCGGTTTATATTTCATATATCTAGCTATATATAGTCTATGTGTATATGTCTATATAAGGAGCCATGGTGGCACAGTGGTTAAGGTGCTCGACTGCTAACCTAAAGATTGGCGGTTTGAGAGCACCAGCGGCTCCATAGGACAAAGATGTGGCAGTCTGCTTCTGCAGATATTCACAGCCTTGGAAACCCTCTGGGGTCACTATGAGTGAGAATCAACTCGACGGCAGTGGGTAAGAAAAAATCAGAAACTATTTATAAACATATAAACATGTATATATGCCAGGCAGTATTAAAATAAGAATAGTTCATTTCTGATTTTTTCCCCCACCATAAACTCAGGAGGGTACTTGAAGTAATGAACATATTTTACAGATGAAGACAGTGAAAAAACAAAGCTGAAAATGGACCCAGAAGCTGTGGATTCCCGGTGTGCCTGTTCTCTATCTCCCCACCTCCCCACCCCACCCACTCTGCTGCTTCATTTTCAGTTGCTGTAGGTCAGCCTTCAGCTTATCTGCTGAGCTCCTACGTGCAATGTCCTCACGCACATGTTAATGTATATCTCGCATGTACTCTGCAAATACAGATGAATCTATGTAATATTACGTTTTAGATATAACAAAGACATACTATTTACCCTTCACACTAAGCTTATTATTTCTAATTAATTGAAGAGGTGTCTGTACTGCCATTGTTTTAAACCAAAGGTATTTTCATGTTTGCTTCCTTGTTGGTTTTAGACTACATCTAAGAAACAATACTTGGAAACTTAAAACGCTTGTCTCTTCTACTTTTAATAGAATGAATCCAAATACATTACTAACAAAGTAAGCTAGGAAGTATTTCTATTTAATTTCTACAAGTAACACTCGTAAATTCTACATGGAAGAAATCATGGTAAAGTGGAGGATATAAGGAAATACCAGTCCAAGTGAGGACATGTAAGAGATGTATTTGTTCATTGGGTGGACATTTCTCAAAACTGACTTGTCTTAGAACTATATCTTAGTCTTCAACATTGTACCATTTGCTGCTTAAAAGAAATTCTGGGTTGTACTTGGTTTGTTTTACCTACAGATAAGATGCATTTACGGCATACAGCGAAACCTGTGAGAGCCGGAACTCAATAGGACTGCCTTGTTTTCCTGGGTCTCACAGGTTTTCTGCCTTTGACAGAGTACAGGCTTAGCACTTTCCTATCGCTTGTTTTAGTGGAAAATATTTGAGTTTTCCTTCTCTGACAGGTTTCCGCCTTACACAGTTTTCGGTTTTCCCAGGTTTTAGTGTAGTGTCCACACATGGAAATGAAAATGAAGATATTGGAACAAGATAGATCAAATCAGCATATCTTGGTAAAGCATGGGCACACGTACTTACTGTTGCACGCAGGCATCTGGCAAGATCTCACAAGAGGTGGCCCCGGGAGATCCCTACACATCACCTCACCGAGAGGAACGCGCCGGCCTTTGGCTGTCAGCCTTTGACACACCTGCTTTCTTCGCTGGATTCCAACACCACAGCTGACAGAACACTGTGAAGAGAATTGTGCAACAGAGTCAAATGGAGCATGAGCAGAATAAATCCCAGCCAACAACAGCAGAATCTGGTGAAATGAGAGGGAATTTCATGTAGGAACATACCAATAAGTAAGCCATTTCCTAGACTTGAACATCTTTTGTGATATAGAGAGTTTCTCTCCTACTCTCTTTGTCTCTCTCTCTTTCATTTTGGTAAGTTATTTATTGTAGGATTTTATTTTTGGTATTGTAATTGAAATCTAATTTATTTTTCAGCTATTTATTTATATAGTAAAATGATTTAGCTTTTTAAAAAAATAAAACATACCCATTACCAAGAATTTAAGGAAATAGAAAAGTATACAAAGGAAAATTAAAAAAAAAAATCCAGACTGCTATGCATGCAGAAACATTAATATTTGATAACCATTGTAGGCACATGAAATTTTAACTTAAAAATTTAGTGTAATTTTGAATTATGGTGTTGGTGAAGAATATTGAATATACCATGGACTGCCAAAAGAATGAACAAATCTGTCTTGGAAGAAATACAGCCAGAATACTCCTTAGAAGCAAGGATGGCAAGACTTCATCTTACATACTTTGGACATGTTATCAGGAGGGATCAGGCCCTGGAGAAGGACATCATGCTTGGTAAAGGAGAGGGTCAGTGAAAAAGAGGAAGACCCTCAACGAGGTGGATTGACACAGTGGCTGCAACAATGAGCTCAAGCATAACAACGATTGTGAAGATGGCGCAGGACTAGGCAACGTTTCATTCTGTTACACATAGAGTCGCTATGAGTCAGAAGTGACTCGACAGCATCTAACAACAACAACATAAAAGAAAAAAAAGAAACTAAAGTAACATTAAAGGAGTTACTGAACTTCTGATTTTTTTCCCAGCCTAAGTGATTAATTCCCAAAAGAGCCCTCTAAAATTAAGAATAAAGATTAAAGAAACCACTAAGATGTTCAAATAGTTATTTTTATTAAATATTTGGACTTAGTGCTAAGAAGGATGAGTAAATAATACATTTGTATTTCCTCCCACCTCCTTTCTCCAATCTTCCAGTTAGTTTTTGTTATATTATTTAGATAATGTCAAGATTTCTGGTACTTACATTCTATTCTGAATGAAATTGTTACAGTTGATTAGTCTTAATTCTATAATTAAAATGAATTCATTACTCATCATCCATCTTTTTTTTTTTTTTTAACCAGGATCTATCCATTCCTGGATTTTTAATTTTGGGTCATCTTGGCTGTCTGATCTTGGTCCTACTGGTTTTTCAAGAAAGCTTGGCAGTTTGAACCCACCCAGTGGCATCATAAAAGAAAGGCTTGGCGATCTGCTTCCATAAAGATCACAGCCAAAAAACCCTATGGAACAGTTCTACTCCATAACACATGAGCCGCCATGAGTCAGAAATGACTCAGCGGCAGCTGGTTTGGTTTTTGGTTCACGGTCCTACTTCTAGTGCCTGTAATCAAAGAACAGTTGAATAGGCCTTTCAGGACTGTCACACTTACTCCTAGGGAAATCTATACCCCGCTCGGCGCCTGAGGAAATATTTGTCAGCTCTCAGCCTTCCCTCTCATTTTGGTCCAGACTTTACAGTCTTTGGCAGGTGTGTTTCATAATTTATAGCTTGGGATTGTGGCCATTTCATTGTTCACTGAAGACAGAGTGTTCCCTCTCTTTCATTGTTTTTGTGGGTTTTGTTGGGTTTCAAAGGAGGGGAGTGGAATTTTTAAAAAATTTCTTTATTGTCATCTTTAACAAAAAGCGCTAATTATTATTTTTCAGTAGAGAAAAAAGTGTTTTCTTATAGGCTTTTAAACAAATATTTTAAAATTGCCATTTATAGGCTTAGCTTTTACTTTTTTTAACCAGTCGAATCATCATCTGGGAGTTTCCCATACAATAAAAATAAATGCCTACATTTTATTAATCTACCATTGTGAGACATTTTTGTTCATATAACAGAGGGGTTAAATAAGTGAGTGTCAGTCATCATCCACAAGACATGTCTAATGATAAATGTTTGAATTTTTCTCTCCATTATGAATGGGAGCATCATTTGTAAGTCCCTTGTTTGGTTGAAGTTCTAGTGTAACTATGTGTCTGTCAAGTTAAAAATAAGAGATGACAGAATCGGTGCCATTAATTTTAACATTTTTATTGTTGTAAAAATATATATAACAATATTTGCCAACTCAACATTTTTCATGTTGAAAATTACATTAATTTTCACTAGTTACATTAATCATGTTGTGCAACCATCGACCATATCCATTGCCAAATTTTCTATCACCATAAATGGAAACTCAATAGTGCCATTAATTTTAATTCACAAAGCACAACCTTATGCCAAAGCTTTTCTTATGGTTTCGTCTATAGAAATCCAGTAGATTCTTTAGGAAGAGTTCTTATGGAAACAATACACCCCAAGTTCATCTCTGTAACTATTTACCTGTGGCCTTTAAACTTGAGGGTCAGTTTGGCAGGATATAAAAGCCTTGACTCACATTTTCTTTCTTTGAGTATCTTAAATATGTTGCTCCATTGTCATCTTCTTTGTTAAATAATATTTTACTGTGTTTTAGGTGAAATTTTACACAGCAAATTAGGTTCCCCTTTAACAATTTTTCTACAAATTGTTCCATGACATTGGTTACAACGTTTACAATGTGTCAGCATTCTCATTATTTCCATTCTGTTTGTTCTGTTTCCATTGATCTAGTTTCCCTACCCCTCCTTGCCTTCTCATTTTTGCTTTTGGGTAAATGTTGACCATTTAGTTTCATACAGTTAGTTGTTTAAGGGAGCACATTACTCACAGGTGATATTATTTTATAAGCCAATCTATTATTTGGCTGACAGGTGACTTCCAGAAATAGCTTCAATTCCAAGTTCAAAGGGTATCTTAGGACAACAGTCTCAGGGGTTCCTCTAGTCTCTATTGGTCCAGTAGATCTGGTCTTTTTAAGGAATTTGAGTTTTGCTCTCCATTTTTCTCCCATTCTATCTGGGACCTTATATTATGTCAGACTGGTCAGAACAGTCAGTAGTGGTAGCCAAGCACCATCTAGTTCTGGTCTCAGGTTAGAAGAGGTTGTAATTCATGTGGGCTATTAATCCCGTGGACTAGTTTCTTCTTTCAGCCTTTGATTTCCTTCTTTTTTTTTTTTTGCTCCCTACGAGTAGAGACTAACAGTTGTATCTTAGATGGCTGCTCACAAGCTTTTAAGACCCCAAATGCTACTCACCAAACTAGGATGTAGAACATTATCTTTGTAAACTATGTTATGCCAATTGTCTAAGTTGTCCCTTGAGACTATGGTCCTAAGCCTTTTAACCCAGTAAACCAAACCCAAGCGTTGTTTGGCTATGTCTAGGAAGCCTCCGTAACTGTGCCCCTATGTGGTTTGTTACCGATATGGATATATACGCAGCACACATAAATGTGTATATACATATGCCTACAGATACACCTATGCATGCACATGCATTTACTTGCACATGCCTTCCTATACACATATATGCATCCGTATCTACTTATATAACCAAATTTTTTTTAGTTGTTTTTACTGTTGTTGCAAAGTTGTATGTATTATCGCACTTACCAAAATTGTCCTTTTTCCTCGTGTACTTCTTAGTGTCTTTATTTACCTTGGTCACGCTGTGCAGACTTCACCCATATTTGGGATTGTCTTTCCCATCACCAAAAGTAACAAGTGTCTACTATCTAGAAAGTGATCTCCCCACCCTTTCCCTTCCATCCCTGGTAGCTATTGAAGAACTTTGCTTTCTGTGTGTATATCTGTTCTTGACTTTTTATAATAGTGGAACCATACAATATTTGTCTTTTTGTGATTGACTTAATTCAGTCAGCATAATGTCCTCCAGATTCATCCATGTTATAAGACGTTTCGTGGCCTCCTCATTATTCTTTATAGTTGTGTAGTATTCCATTGTTGTATGTACAGGCATACTTTGTGTTACTGTGCTTCGCTTTATTGCACTTCACAGGTAATGTGTTTTTTACAAATTGAAGGTTTGTGGCAACCCTGCACTGAGCAAGTCTATTGGCTCCATTTCTTTGTGTCTCTGTGCCATATTTTGGTAATTCTCATAATATTTCAAACTTTTTCATTATTATTATATCTGTTATGGTGATTTGTGATCGGTGATCTTTGATGTTACTATTATAATTGTTTTGTGGCACCATGAACTGTGCCCATATAAGACAGTGAACTTAATCGATAAATGTGTGTGTTCTGACTGCTCCACCAACGAGCTGTTCCCCATTTCTCTGCCTTTCCTCGGGCCTCCCTATTCCCTGAGACATGACAATATTGAAATTAAGCCAATTAATCACCCTACAATGGCCTGTGTTTAAGTGAAAGGAAAAGTCACATGTGTCTTACTTTAAATCAAAAGCTAGAAATGATTAAGCTTAGTAAGGAAGGCATGTGGACTAAGATAGGCCGAAAGCTAGGCCTCTTGTGCCAAACAGTTAGCCAAGCTGTAAATGCAAAGGAAAAGTTCTTGAAAGAAATTAAAAGTGCTACTCCAGTAAACACATGAATGATAAGAAAGCAAAATAGCCTTATTGCTGATATGGAGAAAGTTTTAGTGGTCTGGATAGAAGATCAAACCAGTCACAACATTCCCTTAAGCCAAAGCCTAATCCAGAGCAAGGCCCTAACTCTCTTCAATTCTGTGAAGGCTAAGAGAGGTGAGGAAGCTGCAGAAGAAAAGTTTGAAGCCAGCAGAGGTTGGTTCATGAGGTCTAAGGAAAGACGCCAGCTCTATAACAGAAAAGTGTAAGGTGAAGCAGCAAGTGCTGAGGTAGAAGCTGCAGCAAGTTTTCCAGAAGATCTAGCTAAGATAACTGATGAAGGTGGCTACACTGAACACCAGATTTTTAATGTAGATGAAACAGCCTTGTATTGGAAGAAGAGCTAGAGAGAAGTCAATGCCTGGCTTCAAAGCTTCAAAGGGCAG